TTTGTCTCAGATTATTCCCATTTAATTGGGTTTTAAATGTAGCTACTGATCTTTCCTTTTACCATCTAATCTTCACGTCTTATTTGCAGTTTATCAGTTTAGATGTTTCTCTAAATGTGTGTTTTTTACTTTGTGAGCTGGTGCTTGAATCCCATCGTACTTAACGATGAATTGGAAAGTTAAAAACAAATCCTGTGATGTTTCCCTTTAACAAAACAGTAAATAGTTATTTTTGGTGACGACTTAATAACCTCAAAAATCTTTATTAGCAAAATTTCATCCAAAACAGAAATCCATCCTTATATGTGAGACAAAAACGCTGCAGAATCGCCAAAAAACTGTGACAACTCCAGCCCTGTTTTTATTTTTCAAGCCTATTTAACAACAAAGACAAGGTCAATGCAATAACAACAAGCGCTGGACTTCAGACTGAAGGACTGGATGCTGTGGTTGCCAGTGTGTGTGTGTGAACACAGTGAGCGTTAGCAGCAGATCTGGGAGGTGATGACATTACACAACAGGCCTGTTAATACATGAGGGAAGCCTGAGTGTGATGCAGACGACTGAGGCGAACACAGAAATGTTCAGCTGTGTGGAATAAGACACTGTTTTATCTGTGAGGTTCTAAACCTCTTCCACCTCTGACCTCTTATAATGAAGCTAACGTCACATTAAAGGCCTTTAATGTGTTTCATTTGGAGCAATTTTTAGAGGCCTGAAGAGGTCAAATGCCTCATAAGATAAGGAATAAACATCTATGCATATATATAAAGATATATAAATAAACAGCATTTTCTCATTCTTAAGGGCAACACTCATTGAAGAAGGTTGTTCAGTCCTCTTCTGTTGCTCAGACTGATTCACAATGCACTTGGGACTGTGTGGGAGGAAGCTGGAGAACCCAGAGAGAACCCACGCTGCACGGGGAGAACATGGAGACTCCACGCAGAACGATCCCGGGTGTCCTCACCGGGACGTGAACCGGCGACCTTCTGGCTGCGAGGCGACAATAACCTCATTTTTTTTCACATCCTCTTTAACTGAAACTGTAAAAGAAATCATGGATTGTTGTAATGAAACTAACAGGATTATTTCCTTTTTTTTTCTTCTTCTCAAGATTATAATTACGATGGAATAATATTCTCTTGTTTTCTCTTTAAACATTTGTACACATTTATATAAGTGGACCAGGACATTCATTAACATGTAAGAAATC